TAGGTTTCTTTTTATTTGTAGCAGAGTATTTTTGAGGTTATCAGTTACAGAGAAATAGACCCACATTTGTTAATGCATCCCAGTTGCAATGATGTCAAATTGAATAATGGACAAATGTCGTTTACAAGGTTTCACATTGTATTCAGACAGTATTGTGTGTAAAGATATTGCTGGTTTACCCGATTTACTTTGTATCACATGTAAATTCGAGTTTCCAACTGTTTGTTGTAATCAAACATTTAGAAACCCTCATAGGTTTCCAGCTGGTATGGTTATTTTCTGTTTTGACTATTTATGCCTCTTTAACATTACTGCCCTACTGATGGCGATTCAAGTATATATTATGAATGATGTAATTGCTTGCTCGTCTTCTACTAAGTGATGGTGTAAGTTGCCTGTCATGGCCAGTTCATTTTCATGGCCTTGTGGTAGCTAGATGCTTATTATTTGAATGTGTGGAGTTATCAAGGCTTTCAGTATTAAACATTTCACTGTTAATTTTAATTAAGTCTGCGTAAATGTTTGCTTCGTGTACATTTTCACGGTAATATAGTAGATGTTTTGTACATTTTTTTTAGTATACGTGTGGCAAATTAGCATCGCTACATCATCCCGCTGATTCTCTGAACTCTTAACAAAACATTGGTACCTGCCGACGGTACCCAGAAAGCAACGGTTGTATTCCACCTCATCTATGCTCCCCAAACGGTTTATGTAAAGTGAATTTTTCTGGTGGAACCCAATTCGGTATTATTTCGTGCTGTAAAGTTAGAACTATAATAAAAGTTGAATGAAAATCCTCACTTTCTATTTTACTGTATCAGAATCCTGTTGGGTTTTATTTCAACTTATAAATATAGAACTGAAAGCGATAATTTTTGCTATTGCTGTACTTTTACTATACCCAAACCCATAGAAATATATAGAGACATTATATACTGTATAGATATATATCAAGAGTACTTGATAGAGATTATTTCTATTATCTCTCTTATGTCTCGATTATCTACTATATAGTATATAG